CTTTAGGGATAGTAATATTTCAAATTTACTCGAACGACGGTTGCACTGCACAATAGATATGACGTACGATCAAGCTGAACTTGTCTTCCTCAGTCTCACAAAAAAAGCGGACAAATGATGCATTGCCTTTGCACCTCACCCCAAATTGTGCGTATGAATTCAGGTGCATTTTCGGATGCACGTACATTAGGCGTACGCAAAAGCATGGCCATTGACCCTTTGCTTATATGGCTTTTCAAGCAGAAAAAACAAGTATCACAGTCCTCGATTACTAAATACCTGCTAGCCAGTTTTCACTCTGTTGAACTCAAAACATCTTTAGGTGTACCTCTTTTGGGCACAAACAAATCGGACCTTGCACTACATGGAAGTAGCCTATATACGGCGGGCGAAACCCTATCTATGTGAGCAGTTAGGTCATGGAGTACATCTCTAACCGCCTTTGTAATCGTGTACCTAGAATTAATCACCCTTTGATTATGTTAACTGCCTTTCCAGTTGTTTAACGCATGTTTTCCCCGGTGCAATTCTGAAGATTCTGTAGACAGCAGAAATTATTGGATCCATTAATTTCGAGAGTGCTCATCCGTTGCTTCCTCTCGTTGCGTACTTTTTACCACTGACTTGCTTATAGTGCTTGTTTGAGTAAACGCACTCTCGCTCTGGCAGACTGGTCTTTTCTCTGTCTCTCGTACTGTTTATTTGGTTCGGCGTTCGTGTTAATTAGAAGCACAAGAAGCGGGTCTTAACAATTGTATTGAATTCTGTGCAAATCCAAACTGTTGTTTATTTTTACTCATTATCTGTGTCATGCAAAGACTGTTAGCAGTTGATCCGCCGTCTCGACATTTGTTTGTACAAATAAATCCTGGTGTCTACGCTTGTTTTAAATTTCTCACATGAACAAGGCCAACGTAAAGCCTGATTAGCAAAGTCTAAAGTGCGGTTTCAATATGCATACCTGGTGATATTTTCTGTATGATTCAAACGGCCTTCATAAGAATGTTCGTTGGCTTTCTTTGGTCAAAATTTACTTCAAAACTAGATACAAACGAATTTGTTCTATTAACGAAGGAAGACTAAAGGCTCCAAATTACTACAACTTCATAAATGCCTTACGACAGTGGGTCTAAGGGAGCTAATACGTCTGGGTTAGAAAAATCTGAACCAGAGTGGCCAACTATCTGAGGAAATATTACAACATATGCATATCGTTGGGATAATTTCTAGTTAATGGAAGATGGTAGATATCCCGGAGTAAAGTAAGATGAGGAGGGCAATGTAGAGAATTTGGGTGGACAATCCACCACGCGTCTGCATACAAAAAACTCAGCGCTACCCACAAGTGGGGGACTTTCACACATTAGAAGACGCTGTAATTCTGCTGAATTGTTTAAAGTTTGCATGCATTTCCAAGAATCCAACGCAGCTGATTCTTTTTAGTTGAACGTGTAAATTGTAATGAGTGGACAACGTTTTCAGGAAATGGAATTGCGTAGCTAACCTCAGTTAAAAACGGCCGGCGGTTCCCAAGCGCAACGGTTCTGTCATATTTACCCCCTCGGGAATCTACTTGATCATTGTGTGTCCGTCGAATTGCGCGGACACTGTAACTAAACCATTTGCGCCATGGATGACTTGCATGGCCGTCCAATGATAACACAGGCGCGGGAACCGCGCATAGTATGTGCGGCTTTGGGTCAAATTCCGTAGAAATTACGTTTATGGTTAAGATAAATGTCAGGATTAAAGTTAGGATTAGGTTTAAGTCTAGAGTTGAGGTCAGAATTGAAGGTAGACTCATGATTGTGATAGGGGTTAAGGATTGGGTTCGTGCTAACAGTGAGGTTTAGCTTGCGCATAGGGCTAGGTTTAAGAACAAGGTTGCAGACTGGTTTTATGTTAGGATTAGATTCATGGTTAAGACATAGAAATATTTCCTTTTCCTTCAATTCAACACAAACACCCTTATTTTTATCGGTGAGGAAGAAGAAGGGTCGAACACCAGATCACGTTGTTGATTATTCTGAGCTTTTGAACTCTTACAGGAGTCCATCGCCAGGTATGAGAAACAGCAATATATGAAGGGCTAGTTAAAGTGTATGTACACCAATCAACTGCCCAGGGTCATTAGGTCATGATGGGTAAGAAACTGCGATGAAAATGGGCGGGGGAAGGGGTGGGTGTAATTATAATCATTTCAGCGTTCATCAGAGTGTCAACAACGAAAGTGGGGTAATTATAGAGGATGTGGGCTGGGTGTTCTTGTTCCTGTGCCCTATTTAGGTGGCCATATAAGTTATCTTTCGCCTGTCCGCTTCTGTTTGCCTGAAGAACACATCGGCCGATGGTTCTGATAAATAAAAAGAGTATATTGTATGTCACCGACACGCTTGTTTTTCTTTATGAGTTTCCTTC